AGGTCTTAGTGCCCATTTTGTGGAAGAATTCCTACTTGGTCTTCCTAGTTCTGGCTTTCGTAGAAAAAAAGTTTACAGGTACGTGGATTTTGAGAAGGAGAAGATCCACAAAGACATCTTCCCTTCTCAAATAAGAGGCAGTCACATACTGGCATTTTACACAATGATTACTAGAAAGTGGCTGAGATTTTGGCCAAGCTGACTCATGACACAGGTGGAAATGTGCTGTTTCTATTTTCTTGCAAAATAATGAGACATCTAGTGGGCACAATATGAACATATCTTTATGGGAGTTGGAATCAATTTCCAGGTAAATGGTATTCAATAACTGCCCCATGCTTAATTCTACAAAAATATTCTTATTAGAGAAATACCAGAGCCAGGAATCAGGTCAACTATTGACTCATACTCAATAATCAAGATATTCTATTATCTTTTATTTTGTAGTACTCAATAGTTCTCAAAATCTTTTAAATATAATGTTTCTTTCCATAACAGTATAATAGTCTCCACCACCAGGCTATGGACTCCCTAAGGGCAGCGGCCACGCTGGTTTCCTCCCAACACTAGCTCAGTCTCTAATGCATGAGAAACAGGTGCTCGGTAAGAGTTTGATGAAAGGAACTCATCTGAATGACCAGTTCAAGAAGTGGGGTAGTTTCTGATTTTTTTTCTAGGTGAGAAAACCAAAGATCAAAGACTTGAGACAGTGTCCGGCAGTTTATTAAATAGAAGACCCAACCTTGAACCATGTCTTGTACTCGACTTTTGCTCATGCCCAAACAGACTATGTGGGAAAGCCCCCTTGCTCACATAAATGCCCACAGGTCCTCCCCTCTGATTTAGGTTGGCAACATCCATCTTTATTCCATTGCTAGGTACCCTTTTGGAAGGTCTTGGGTATTTAAATCAGGGGTGGTCCATCTATGACCCAAGTGAGGCCCCAGCAGGAGGCATTCCTCAGAATTTTCCACATGAAATTACCTGGTAGCAAGCTCCTTTTTCATCTCATTATGGGACTTATGCATTTCTGTCTTCGTAGAACATATGGTTAGTTAACTACCTGGAGTGGAGATGGTAATTTGCATTTGTTACCAAGGCTTAGCCTAGGGACTTGTAAATTCCAAGGTGTCCCTGTCCATGCTTTGTCTTTGGAAAGCACCTTAGGAAAAGTCTTCATCACACAACATGTAAAAGGATAACAAATCCTGGGAGATTATCTGGGCCAATGTTTCTCAAATTGGGGTTTAGGACCCTTGAAAGTTCCACTGATGAGTTCTTGTGGTCCAGAAATGATCTATTAATATTTTTAGTTTTAGATATTCTTCCATGATCATCTAAAGTTAACATAAACACTGGACCACCTGGCTAGCCACCTGATAAGTGAGTCTGGTATTCAGTGTCCCACACAAAATTTATCTTGGTACCCGACAATCAACTAAAATAATATCATGTAACTTTAAAAATTGAAATATAATTCAAATACCATAAAATTTATCCTTTTAAAGTATACAATTCAGTGGGTTTTAGTATATGCACAAGGTTGATGATTCATAACCATCATTACCATATAATTCCAGAACATTTTTATCACCTCCCCAAAATCCTGATGCCCATTCCTTTCTCCCCCAGACCCTGGCAACTATTAATCTATTTTCTGTCTCTCTGGATTTGTCTATTCTGGACATCCTATCTAATAATAGACAAACATGGTAATTAACCGTACCTCTGACACACTTCCCATTGGCTAATCAGGGCGATATGCAAATTAACTGCCAACCAAGATGGCAGCTGGCAGCCAGGCAGCTGAAGCGAACAGGAGGCTTGCTTGCTCCAGTGATGGAGGAAGCCAAGGTTCCCGGCCTGCCACCGCCCAGCTCTGAGCTGCACTCTAAGCAACTATGTTGCAATTGTAGAAGCTAAACAATCCCCAGAAACCTGCTTTCAGCAGCCGGGCCTCAGAGCTGGAGTTGCAACAGTGTTTCAATTATAGAAGCAAAACAAAGCCCAGATACCTGCTTTCAGCAGTCGAGGTCTCAGAGGTAGAGCCGAGCCTCAGAGCTAAAGCCGGCTCTCAGCTCCAGTGACAGCCATAGAAGGTAAATAAATCCCAGAATAAAAAAAAAGAAAGAAAAAAAGGAGAGCTTGGGAGCTTCAGTCACCCTCCAGTCTGAAAACAGCCCTCAGCCCCTCACCCAGACTGACCAGGCACCCCAGTGGGGACCCCCACCCTGAAGGGTGTGTGACCAGCTGCAAACAGCCATCATCCCCTCATCCAGGTTGGCCAGGCACCCAAGCAGGACCCCCACCCTGATCTGGGACACCCTTCAGGGCAAACCAGCCAGCCCCCACCCATGCACCAGGTCTCTATCCTATATAGTAATAGGGTAATATGCAAACTGACCCTAACAGCAGAAGGACTGGGAATGACTGGTCACTATGACACACACTGACCACCAGGGGGCATATGCTCAATGCAGGAGCTGCCCTCTGGTGGTCAGGGCACTCTCACATGGGAAGAGCTCTGCTCAGCCACAAGCCAGGCTGATGGCTGCCAGTACAGCGGTGGTGGTGGGAGCCTCTCCTGCCTCCTCAGCAGCGCTAAAGATGTCCGACTGCAGTTTAGGCCTGCTCCCCACTGGCAAGTGGACATCCCCCGAGGGCTGCCGGGCTGCCAGAGGGATGTCTTATTGCCATCTTAGGCCCAATCCCCCAGGGAGTGGGCCTCAGCCAGCAGGTGGTCATCCCCTGAGGGGTCCCAGACTGCGAGAGGGCACAGGCTGGGCTGAGGGACCCCCCCCCCCCCCCCCCCGCCCAGTGCACAAATTTTTGTTTCCGGGGCCTCTAGTTTTATATAAATGGAATAACATGACATGTGGCCTTTTGTGTCTGGCTTCTTTCATGTAGCATGTTTCCAAGGTTCATCCATGTCGTAGCATGTATTAGCACTTCTCTTTTTTTCCTTTTTAAAAATATTTTCTTATTGATTGCAGAGAGGAAGGGAGAGGGAGAGATAGAAACATCAATGATGAGAGAGAATCATGGATTGGCTGCCTCCTGCACGCCCCACACTGGGGATCGAGCCCACAACCTGGGCATGTGCCCTGACTGGAAATCAAACCATGACCTCTTGGTTCATAGGTCAACTCTCAACCACAACCACACTGGCCGGGTAGCACTTCATTTCTTTTTTATGGTTGAATATTTCTTCCATTGTATCCATCATTTACCCAGTTGATGGACATTCGGTTTGTTTCCACAATCTGGTCAGTATGAATAATGCTGCTATGAGAAACTTTAAAAATTGGGGTCTATAAGTCTTCAGATATGTTCTTAGGGTCTGTAACTTCACAAATTTCAGAAATACTGACCCAGTGTGACTCCATTGCTTAATAAATAAAGAAATGGATCAGGTGACACTCACAGAATTAATGGAAGCTTCTATGACTAGATTCAGAGCACAGGCTTGTTATCTTCCTTTATCTATAAGAGGTGGACCTCTGGTTTAGGGCCTTCCCAAATCATCTGTTTGGTTCTCGAATGGCAAGAGCCTCCATTGGCAGTGTGGTTAACACTTAACTAATAACACTGGTGTATGTTAATGCAGCCCAGATGCTGGGCAGCTTTTAATTCTCCAAACCTGGACTGAATACTGATAATATTTCCTCAGGCTAAAAGCCAGCAAAAAGAATCACCTGGTCAAACATCCTTGTCAGCCTGCTTTTCTTCGAGTGTCCTCCCAGGGGAGCTCTCTGGACAAACAAAGCTTGTTGACCCAGTTTGAAAGCCTGGAAAATTATCATCGCAGTCACTGGGACAACAGAGCAAGATGCCAGACCCTTGAGAAACGATCAGCTCAGGCTTCCAGTGTCCTTTGTATCCCAATAGGGTGGGACCAGGAACCCCAGGGAGGCCTGCTGCTTTCACCCAGCTGCTCCTCCAAGTGGCTTCCAAGCTCTCCACGTGTGGTGCCGCGGAGGCCCATGTCTGTTTTCCTCCCAGTGGGCTTTGCCTACAGCAGTGCGGAGAGTGACAGCTCAGTTGTAGGAAACCAAAACAAGCCTGGATACTTAGAGGAAGACATTTAGTGTTTTTTGGAGCAAGGCCACAGCTCTCAATGGGAAGGAAGGGCTGAAGCAGCTACAAAAGTTTCAAATTAAAGACCAAGAGTCCAGAGGCAGTGTTTTTAAATAATACTCACGGGAGTGAGGCAGGCCCTTGCAAAAGAGTACCTCCAAATTACTTAAGGAGTGTTTTATAATGTTCTGAAAATGCTACTTCCTAAATTACACAAAGAACTAAAGAAACTAGTCAGAGAAGCAATGCAGGTAAAAGTTGTTACAATTGCATGGTGGACAGTTTGTGGCTTAGATGGTATGATGTCAGAAAGAGTGCCAAAAGCTTTACCAGTCCTCAAATTACTCTCCCATGGGTATAAAAGATTTCTGTGGAAGGGTGAGTACCAAGTAGGGACAAAAGAATAGGTAGAGTAGGTGCTGACAGGAACAGGTAAGGTGACAGTCATCCATGGCCTCCCCCCGCCCCCCTTTTATAGAGCACCATGTTGTTCTAACACTAATTTTAGGGTCTTCATCATCAGGAGGATGTAGTTTTAACACATAATTTGATCCAGAATTGTATAAATTCATGTGTGATTCATGTTTTAAGAGAGTGAGCGACTATGAAATTCCTCCCACTTGTAGGAACATACATGAAATCTATCTCCTTCATGGTTTGAAGGATAAATTTTTGTGCCTGGAAGAACTAAGAAGACAATTTGATCATCAAGTTTTTAGTAACTACTACTCTCTTCCCCTCACTTCACTTCTTACTTTCTCCCTTTATCCTTTCTGCTTCTGACGGATACAGCAGATTTGCAGAAACAGGCTGTCCACTTCCTACGCTGGTACTGTCACTACAGATTGCTTCAGAGGGGCTTGGGCAACATGTCACTATCAGTCTTTGTCATAACAATCCTGGTGTCTGCCCTGTGTGCTGGGTGCCTGGCAGAGCCAGCTGGCCAGCCCCAGGCATGCCCTGTGGATGCTCAGGTACAAGACTGAAGGGAGGGAGACTAGAAAGCATATTCAGAATTAGACAATAATGATAAAAGAGGGACAGACTCAGGTAAAGGTAAGTGTTTCGTCTGCCTAACTGTATCTTCCTGATGCATGACAATAATATGCTAGCAGCACTGTCCATGAGAACTTTCTGTAATGATGGAAAATTCTACATCTGTGCTGTCCAATATGGTAGCAACACATGGCTATTGGGCACTTGATGTGTGGCTAGTAAGCAACTGAAATTTTTATTTGGGTTCATTTTAATTAATTTAATTTAAATAGTTACATGTGACTAATGACTACTGTAGAGATGCTAGCATGTTTTTTTGGTTTTTTTCTGCCAACAATTTTTTGCTTCCATTTGGTCCATAGCATGGGAGAGGGCTCCAGGGTGATTAAAAGGCTGCCTATTGCAGTGATGGCGAACCTATCACACGCGTGTCAGAGGTGACACGCGAACTCACTTTTTTGGTTGATTTTTCTTTGTTAAATGGCATTCAAATATATAAAATAAATACCAAAAATATAAGTCTTTGTTTTACTATGATTGCAAATATCAAAAAATTTCTATATGTGACACGGCACCAGAGTTAAGGTAGGGTTTTTCAAAATGCTGACACGCTGAGCTCAAAAGGTTTGCCATCACTGGCCTAGTGGCTACTGGGAGAGGCTCAGGTACAATCCTGACACCAGGGTATGCAGAGGAAACCCTCAAAGGCCTCTGGACTTCAAAGACTTCTAATCATGCTTGAGGGTGAGCCTTTTGAAGGGATACTCGTCCAGCCTGGGGGCCAGTCAGCCTGTGGAGGTTGTTAGGTAGTTGCCCTTCTTCTTGATGACTTTCACCTTCTCATCTAGGAAGTGGTTCTCCAGAAAGTTGCAGAGATGGGGGTCTGTGTGGACAGAACCCAGGGCATGCAGATCCAAAAGGGCTTGGTTAAAAAACACACAAAAGGGCTTGGTTCAGGTTCTTCTTTGGACAGTTTTGCAAGTCCTGATAGAGGGTGTGGCCACCATGCTGGTTTTGCATTTTCAAGAGACTCTGGGTGCCCTTCAGTTCTTCCTTGGCCAACTCTCAGAGAAAGTGACCCATACCCTCCAGAGCCACATAGTCATGGTTGAAATAGCCCAGAGAGAGGTAGATGCAAGAGGCCTGCAAATGCAGGTTGACCAGGTGGCTGACAGTGGCCTCCTCCTTGGTGGAAAAATTCTAAGGAATCTGGGAGCTCATGGTTGCTAGGCAATTGGAGTTAAGCTCAATAAATAATGCTGACTGGTCTTGGAGGCAGAAGATGGCTCTGAAGGTTACAGCTGGAAAAGAAGTTGGAAGGTGGTGGGAGGCTGGAAGAAGGGGCATCCCTAGGTCTGTTCAGCTCAAACACTATTGAAGCAAGAGAAAGAGCTGCAGGACCGCTGAGTGCACTGCCGAGATACTAGTGTTTTAAAAGATAGCAGACAGCCCAGGCACTGTGGTTCAGTGGTTGAGCATCAACCCATGAACCAGAAGGCCACGATTCGATTCCCAGTCAGGGCACGTGCCTGGGTTGCGATCTTGATAACCAGTAGGGGGCATGCATGAGGGAGCTGATCAATGATTCTCTTTCATCATTGTTGTTTCTATCTCTCTTGCCCTCTCCCTTCCTCTCTGAAATCAATAAAAAATATATGTATATCTTTGAGTTCTGGGTTCAAATCCCAGATCTTCTGTGTTATTAGCTTGTAACCCAAGGAGAGACACTTAAACTATACCTCTTTTTACACAGCTGTAAGATGGGCTGATAATGCCATGGTATTGTTATGATAAGTAAGGTGGATGGGGCCTTGGGTGGAAGGAAGGAGGCATTTACCAGTGTCCACAATCAACAAAACTGGCCACAAGTATCTGGAAGAGGCAGAGGAGGCCCAGGGTGTGGTAACCTTTTCACATTTGTGTTGTCGATTGTCGTCTAGTTGCATTAAGATCTCTTATTTACAGACAGTTCCTTTTACTTTTTCAATGTTTTCATTAGAATCTTTTGCTTCAATTCTGAAAGGCAAGGACTAGATGAGAAAACAGAGACCCAAAGAAAAGAAATGAATTGCCCCAAAATGTTACACTGAGGAGTTAACAGAGGAGAGAACAACGATTCTGTCTGTCAGGGGCCAAGGGTTCCTCTGTCCAGGCTGCAGGAAAGTTCTCAAACTAGCGTGTGTGCAAAAAAGCCTCTTCTCAATTCTGTACCCTTCACATCTTCAATCAGCCATTAGGGTGATGTGTGTCTCAGCATTGACCTACTCACAAAAACGGGTGGCAAACCTGTTTTCTGGGAGGCAGCAACTGTAATCTTTGCCATCAGAGAATCCTATACTTGGCTCCCACATGACTGTGAAGAAACGCTTTTGTCTTGCTATCTCATCCTTTCCCTGGCTGAGTCTATAAATGCTTGCTACTCCGGCACGGAGATATTTCAGCAGCTCTGGGCTTTACTCTAACCTTTGCACATCCATTTGCCTGTATCTTCATGCCTGTAATTACTTAATTCCTTTCTTTTAATGCCTGTAAGTAAGAGCTCTGTTATCCGAGTAAAGATCAGGAAAAACAAAACCACGAAACGAAAACACAGGAAAACCATTTTTCATCTTGTGGTGCACAACCACGCCCCCTGTTGACGGAGGCATGCCAGTTTAAAAGCACAAAAAGAAATTCTTCACGACTTTATTGAGGTATAATTGATGTATCATACATTGCACGATTTAAAGTGTACAGTTTGATGAGTGTTAACGTGTGTTTGTGCCTGGGAAACCACCACAGTCAAGATAATGAACATTTCCATCACAGGCAGTTTCCCATTTGAGTCGAACAGGGTGAGTGCTCCCAACTCAAAACTATACAGTGGCACTGACCCCTGCAGGCCCATCTTTATTCCAATCTCTAGTCTCCATTGACCTCCACATGGCTTTTCTTCCTTTCCAGTTACAGCGTTCCTCTTTCTGTTTAAGGCCAGCTCCTTTCCTGGTTTTCACCCCCTCCCCGCTTACCAGGTACTGCCACTATGGGGCAAGCGTCCCCTTTCCCTGGGGAATCATCCACTTCTTATCTACAGGCTCTCTCTCTCTCTCTCTCTCTCTCTCTCTCTCTCTCTCTCTCTCAATCCTCTCATGAGGATATTTTCCCCATTGACTTTTAGAGAGAATGGAAGGGAGGGAGGGAGGGGGAGGGAGAGAGAGATCGATGTGTCTCTCTTTTTAAAAAATGTTTTTATTGATTTTAGAGAGAGGAAGGGAGAGGGGTAGAGAGATAGAAACATCAGTTGGCTGCCTCCTGCACACCTCCTACTGGAGATTGGGCCCACAACCCGGGCAAATGCCCTGACTGGGAATCAGACCAGAGAGACCCTTGGTTCATGGGTTGGTGCTCAACCCCTGAGCCACATCAGCCAGGCTCTACAGGCTCTTTTCAATCTTAAAAATAAACAAAAACAAACAAAAAATTAAATACCTCTTCCTGCCTCCTCATTCCTTTCTTCAGTCACACATTGCTCTGTGTCCTGTCTTCTTGTCATGGTCGAACTTCCAGAAATAGTTGCCCGAAATTACTCTCTCCACTTCCTCACTTCTCCTCTCTCTTAAGCCATTCCCCTGCCCCCACCACACAGACACTGTTTTTGATCCGGTCCCTTACTAACCTCCCTGTGTTGCATCCAGTGGACCAGTCTCAGTCCTTATCATACTGGGACACAGTTGACCACTCTATCCTTTACAAAATAGCCTAGCTTCGTTGTTTTTACAAAAGTAATTGATGCTTTTTTTTTTTTTAAGAGTCAGACAATAAATAAAAGCATTAGGAGGCTCTTTCTAGACCAGCAGTTCTCAACCTGTGGGTCGTGACCCCTTTGGCAGTCGAATGACCCTTTCACAGACCATCCTGCATATCAGATATTTACATGACGATTCATAACAGTAGCAACATTACAGTTATGAAGTAGCAACAAAAATAATCATATGGTTGGGTCACAACATGAGGAACTGTATTTAAAGGGCCAGAAGGTTGAGAACCACTGTTCTAGACTCACCCTGTTACACTGCTACGGATGGAGCCACTGCTGCAGGAACCCTCAGCTGATAGCACGGAGCAGCCTCAGGAAGTCCCAGAAATTAGTCGCTGAATATTTCTAATTTGGGGGAAATCCTAGTTGCTCTATAAACACCATAGAAGCCAAGAAATTGTTATAAACAAACACACAAACAGAGAAGGGCCTGAATTCAGCAACTCTTTGACTCCTGTCCTAACAGTTGCCTTTAAAAAAAAAAATTATTGATTGATTTTAGAGAGAGAGTAAGGAGGAGAGAAAGAAAGATATCAATATTTTTTCACTTTTTAAAAAATCTTCACCCAAGGACATGCTTATTGATTTTTAGAGAAAGGGGAAGGGAGAGGCAGGGGAGAGAGAGAGGGAGGGAGAAACATCGATGTGGGAGATTGGTTGCCTCCCATATGTGCCCTGACCAGGCATCAAACCTGCAACCTAGGTATGTGCCCTGACCGGGATTCGAACCCACAACCTTTTAGTGCATGGGATGATGCTCCAACCAACAGAGTCACCAGACCAGAACTATTGTTCCACTTACTTATACATTCATTTATTGATTCTTATATGTGCCCTGAGGACGGGTTGAACCCAAAACCTGGGCATATGGGGGACAATGCTTTAGTCAACTGAGCTACCCAGCCAGGGCAAGAGTTGCTTTAACTACTATCCTAGAGATGGCTGGTTCTACTTGACGAGTCCCTATTGGTCTCGCCAGGCAGGAAACCTGCCTGGGTATGACTTTCCTAATAGCCACCCTTTGTGTTCCCCTTCCTAAAGCTTATAATTGGGAGAAGGACAGGAATGAAGCATAGGCTGACCCAGTGGCTTTAAAGGGGTATAGGTTTTTAGACACATACACAAAAACAGTGTTCTCACGACCAATGTTTTTACCCAAGATAAAGTACAAAACAGGAAATAAAAATCATCCCCCCAAACTCATCCAGAGCAAGAGCCATAACAGTTTTGGTGAACATCCTTTAGCCATCTCTATGCAGTATATACACACAGAATTGCATGTATAGTTTCACATACATGAGATCATGACTTACATGTTCTTCTGTAATGACTTTTTTCACTCAGAGTATGTACTGGATGGATATCCAAGCCAATAGCTACAGACTAACACCATGATTGTTAATGTTTGCCAAACATTCAGGATATTTACTGGTATAAATCATGGTTTACTCAACCAGTCTCCTATTGTTGAGCATTTAGTTTGTTTGCTTTTTTTTTTTTTCATCATAAACACACAATGATAAACATCCTGAGCTCGGCATTTTGCTTTTGAGCAATTTTCTCCTCAGGCTAATCTCGAGAGTGGATTAGCTCAACACAATGGAATGAATGCTTTACGTTTTGATACAATTAGGCTAACTTCCTTCCAGAAATGTTATACCAATTTATTTTCCCAGGATAGCTTTGCCCCATTATCACCAATATTAGGCTTTATCAATTTCTGATTTTAGATGTGGCTTTTTGTAGACTGATTCTGTTTGTTTGATTAATTTGAGTATTTTTCTTTCATTAAGTTCATCTCATTCACATTTATTATTTTAATTATTATGTATAGTTTTAGTTCTGTAACCTTATTTTGTTTTCTATTTTTATGCCTTCTTGGCTTATCTTCATTTTTACTGTCTTTCAGTAGATTCTCTGTGTTTTCTTTGGATTTTTTTCTTTCTGATAATTTTGAGGATATTTTGCCTGCTTTTAGTTCTATAAGTGGGCATGAGTGCCTTTTATTAGACACTTAGATATGTCTTTCTCAAACAGTACAGCATTTACTACTGTCTAATAATAGCTTATCTTTATTGTATGTTTACCTTGCTTCATAACAACCCTATGATAGTGTATTTTCTTTCTTTCCTCCCACTAGCCCATATCTCCAAGCCTAAATCATCTAATCTGAGTGCTATGTGTACTCTAAAAATTCCTTTGGAAAGAAAAATCAACCCTGGTTGGGTCTGAGCTCAAAGATCTCCCCCTGGCCAATTGGGCAATGATGATTATTTCTGTCCCTCCCTCGACTGACAGTATCCCAAAGGCATTATTTTGTAACTAGTCTGAGCTGCTCCAGTATAGGCTGCACTTTCACATAGGTAATCTCATTGGGTGCTCAGAGCAAGCCTGTAAAAAAACCCTCTGATCTCCCACGTTCATGACAAGAAAACAGGTTTTTAAAAAAAGTGTGTGGCCTGGTGGCGTGGCTCAGTGGTTGAGCATTGACCTATGAACCAGGAAGTCAAGGTTTGATTACTGGTCAGGTTGCAGGCTCGATCCCCAATGTGGGGCATGCAGGAGGCGGCCGATCAGATTATTTCTCATCATTAATGTTTCTGTCTCTCCCTCTCCCTTCCTCTCTGAAATCAATAAAAATATATTTTTTAAAAAATGAATGTGTGTGATTTGTCTTTGTGACAAAGTACTCTTAGTACTCTGTGGGAACACTCAGCCAGTGTCCTTTAACTGATAGTCACATTAAAAAAAGAATAAAACAGTCAACATCAAGACAACCCAAAACACCAAATTGAAATTCTTTAGGCCCTTGCCCAAGAATACACTTTTAACTGGATGCTATTTAACTCTTAACTCTCTGTTAAAAGAAGTTATATTTATGGAAAATTGCTTGAAGTCTATAGAAGCCCACCCATCTCTCTAGATTTGTAAAAGGGGTTGCTCTAATTTTATGCAGGATGTGAATAACCATTACATGAAAGTATGGTCAACTAAGGAGGTAAAATACTGTTGCTACCAGAAAGTGCTCAAAGAGTTGCTTAAAAAAATAAATTTGTATTGATTTCAGAGAGGAAGACAGAGGGGAGAGAGAAATAGAAACATCAATGATGGGAGAGAATCACTGATTGGCTACCTATGCAGGCCCCACTCTGGGAATTGAGCACGCAACCTGGGCATGTGGCCTTGCCCAGAATCAAACCCAGGACCCTTCAGTCCACAGGCCGATGCTCTATCCACTGAGCCAAACAAGCTAGGGCAAGAATTGCTTTTAATAGGCCACTATGCACCATGAATGTATCAGAAGAGATCACATGCAAACTTATTTGACTTCTATTAATGTCTAATAGGATACTAGACAGTGATGGGTGGAAAAACCATTTCCATCAAAACCCCAACTAATTATTAATGGAAGAAAAAGCGAATTCAGGTTTGCTAAGTATAAAGCAAGTTTTTGAGAGAAATAGAAAACATCCCATTTATTTGCTTTCAAAATTAAGAACAAAGAACATAAAACTATTTGAGTGAGAAGGTGAACCAGTGTTTATTGGCCACTTACTCATGTTGGCTGTTTCACATACTTTATCTCAGGTAATCCTGACAAGTCTGGGGTAAGCTTCATTGCCCTACTTCACAGTTAAGGAAACTGAATCTTAGAGGGGATGATAATTTGCTCAAGTTCCTCACTTGGAAGTGAGGAACTAGGACTTGAACCCCTGTCTGTGTGATCTGAAACCTGTACTCTTTCTTCTATATCATTTTTCAAATAAATTATTTTAAAATGTTTTTCAGGTCATGGCACCGCTTCGTAGGAGTTGCTCTTGTCTCCTGCGGGGCAGCCTGGGTTCTGTGGCGAATTAAACAGCCACCGTGTCCAGCAAAAGCAAAGACCACACCACCAAGAAGCGCCCCAGACAATAAATACATATCTATCAACAATTGAATCTAAAAAACAAAATAGCCCTAGCTGGTTTGGCTCAGTGGACAGAGTGTTGTCCTATGGACTGAAGGGCCTGGGTTCGATTCCAGCCAAGGGCACATGCCTGGGTTGCAGGCTTGATCCCGAGTGGGGGGCATGCAGGAGGCAGCCAATCAATGATTCTCTAATGTGCTTGTCAGGTTTGACCAGTCATAGATTCAGGAGTTTAAGGAGGCCTTCAACTTGATTGATCAGAACCGAGGTTTCAGTGACAAGGAAGTTTGCATGATATGCTTGCTCCTCTAGGGAAGAATCCAGCGGACTCCAGGGCCTGTACACTTCACCATGCTCTTCATGGTGTTTGGTGAGAAGTTAGATGGCACAAATCCTGGAGATGTCATCAGCAATGCTATTGTTTACTTTGATGACAACGCAACTGGCACCATTCAGGAAGATTATCTGAGAGAGCTGCTCACAGGAATGGGAGGTAGGTTTACAGACAAGAAAGTGGAGGAGCTGTACAGAGAAGCACCCACTGACAAAAACGGAAGTTTCAATTCCATTGGGTTCATAAGTATCTTTAAACATGGAGCTAAAGATAAAGATGATTGAAAGAACTTTAGCTCAAACTGTCCAATTGCTTTGTCTTACTGTGTATTCTTTCCTGACACATCCCCCATCGTCAGAGACAGAACTGTTGCACGCAACTTAGTTTCTTTCACAGCTTGCCTCTTTGTTTTGATGTATTTATTCTAGGCCTTTCTGCCACTTAGCACTTATATAATCAGAATGGGAATGAGTCTGTAAATTGTGTTGAAAAAGAGATTGCAAATAAAAATCAACAAATATATATATAAAAAAAGTTTTTCACTATTGAAAGTTAAGGGAAAGAAATAGAAGATAAGAAAGAAAATGAGAGGAGACACACAAAAAAGCAAAAAAGGGAAAAGCAGAAAGAGGAACCAAGAAAGAAAGCCTTGTTGATTTGTCTTAAGATAGAAACATGAAATATACAAAGAAAGAAAGGCACAGAAATAGATATGTACTTTTTATAATTCAAACACAATTTCTAGAGTTTTACAGAGAGATACACAGAAGCTGATGTTTACACAAAGGTTTCCATCCCTCTTTTAAAAATGTAGGCCTTCAGAAAAAAAATAATGGAGGCCTTTGAGGAGTGGCAAGAAATATCCAAAGTGATGAGAAGCAAGGACCTACAACCAAGATTACCCAGCCAAGCGCTCATTTAGAATCGAAGGATATATAAAGAGCTTCCCAGACAAGAAAAGGATAGAAGAGTTCATCACCACCAACACAGTTTTACATGAAATGTTAAAACAGCCCAGCTGGTGTGGCTCAATGGTTGAGCATCAACCCATGAACCAAGAGGTCACTGGTTTGATTCCAGCAGCCAATTAATGTTTCTATCTCTATTCTTTTCTAAAATAAATAAAACATTTTTTAAAAAACGTTAAAGGGTCTTCTTTAAGAAAAAGAAGAAAAAAAATAAAAAATGAACAATAAAATGACCATAAATACATATCTATCAACAATTGAATCTAAAAAACAAAATAGCCCTAGCTGGTTTGGCTCAGTGGATAGAATGTTGTCCTATGGACTGAAGGGCCTGGGTTCGATTCCAGCCAAGGGCACATGCCTGGGTTGCAGCCAGGCTTGATCCTGAGTGGGGGGCATGCAGGAGGCAGCCAATCAATGATTCTCTCTCATCATTGATGTTTCTATCTCTCTCACCTTCTCCCTTCCTTACTGAAATCAATAAAAAAAATTTTTAATTTTAAAAAAATAAATGAACAAGCAGAACAGAGATGGACTCATGGATACAGAGGACATTTTGAAGGTTGCCAGATGAGAGGGAAGTTGGGGGGGATGGGCGAAAAGGGTGAAGGGATTAAGAAGTACAAATTGGTTGTTACAGAATAGTCATGGGGATGTAAAGTACAGCATAGGGATAGCCAATAATATTCTAATAACTATTTATGGTAATAGATGGGAATGAGCTTTACTGGGATTATCACTTAGTAAGTTATATAATGTCTAATCACTGGGGTGTACACCTGAAACTAATGTAATATGTGTGTCAACTGTAATTGAAAAATAAAAAATGATTTTAAAATGTAGGCCTTTGAGTTAGTAATCTCAAAAGTGAACAGCTAAAATAATCAGTTAAAGTATTTGTATTGCTATCTCAAGTTGCGAAGTAAACAGATGTTCTTCAGGTCATATCTTTCTGAATTTTGATTGGAAAAATCTCTACTGTTACTCTTAGGAAATAGACAATGTCAGCCCTGTCCAGGTAGCTCCATTGGTTAGAGAATTGTTCTGATACACCAAGGTTGGGGGTTTGATCCCCAGTCTGGGCACACAAAAGAATCAACCAATGAATGCATAAATCAGTGAAGTAACAAATTGATGTCTCTCTCTCTCTCTCTCTCTCTCTCTCTCTCTCCATTTCTCTCTCTAAAATCAATATACTTAAAAAAAAAATGGAGAACGTCACATTCCATAGGAGAAAGTGGTTCCAGAAAATCATTCCTATCTTGTGGGTTCTTACAATATCTCCAATAAAGATTTTTAAAGCCAAATGCTATGATTTAGATTATATCTTATCTGATATTTGCTTTGTGTATTAGATGGAATTAAGATAAGAGACAAGTCTGGCCTGGGAGTGGAAAGGAATTCTTTTCCCCTTTCCTAAAATATTTGGATTGTACATAGATAATGTGCCTTATAGCATTCATAGATAATGTGCCTTATAGCATACAGAATGACATTTAAAATTTAGTCTTTTCATATGAGACTGTTGATTTTTGTTGTTCCTTTATAATGAAAAGTCTTTGGAGATGGGGTGGAAATAGTGGATACCTAGTGATTTGTCTAAAGACATGTTAAAAAACACACAATTTGGTAGAAAATAACTTTGTTAAAATAAAGAATTAATAAAAACTATATCTTCATGTATTTGTAACATTTTAGGCACCATGGAGTGACTTTACAACTCCGCACATAGTCAGAATATTTGCCTCTTTTCTTTTTTATTTTAATTACTGATATATTTTTAGCTAGTTATTTTTTTAAAATATATTTTTTATTGATTTCAGATAGGAAGGAAGAGGGAGAGAGAGATAGAAACATCAGTGATGAGAGAGAATCATTGACTGGCTGCCTCCTACAAGCCCCCCACTGGGGATGCCCACAATCGGGCATGCCCCCTTGACTGGAATCGAACCTGGGACCTTTCAGTTCGCAGGCCGACACTCTGTCCACTGAGCCAAACTGGCTAGGACACTAGTTATTTTTTTAAAGCTATTTGTAGGTTTATCAATATGTTTACCAGTTCCCTTGCTCACAATTGCTTTTGGCACCCATTCCTTCCTTCAGAGTTCAGTTTCTTTTTTCTTAAGTATATCATTTAATAGCTCGTTCAGCAAGAACCTGTAAAAAGTAACTTTCAGTCTTTTCATGTCTGGAAATTTCTTTTTTTCTTTTTCTGGGTGGAGGGATGAAGAGAAGAGGCCCACCTGGACCCTGGGCTCAGGGCCGTTTGAGCAGTGTCACTATCTGTTTCGTCAAGAGCACGAACTTCTTTTCCCTGAGATTGTCAAATAAAAAAAAAACAAAACTGACAGCAGCTGACACAACAATAGGCATCTGGTGTGAATAAATCAAAATTATACCTATTTCTTGCCCTAACTGGTTTGGCTCAGTGGATAGAGCGTCAGCTTGCGGACTCAGGGGTCCTGGGTTTGATTCCGGTCAAGGGCATGTACCTTGGTTGCAGGCACATCCTCAGTGTGGGATGTGCGGGAGGCAGCTGATTGATGTTTCTCTCTCATGGGTGTTTCTAACTCCCCCTTCCTCTCTGTAAAAAAATCAATAAAATATATTTTTAAAAAATTATACCTATTTCTTTAGTCAGGTCAGCAAAAATTATATTTTTGTGTGTCACAGAATTTTAGTAATTAGTTTATTTGGGTCATGAGATAAAAAAGGTTGAAAATTGCTGACCTAGAATATCAGCTCTTCTATTCTCTCACTCAAGAAATTTCCAGGGGAGCTCAGCCGGTGTGGCCCAGTGGTTGAGTATCAACCTATGAACTAGGAGGTCACGGTTGGATTCCTGGTCAGGGCACATACCCAGGTTTCTGGCTTGATCCCCAGCAGGAGGCAGCCAATCAATGATTCTCTCTCATCATTGATGTTTCTCTCTCTCCCTCTGCCTCTCTGAAATCAATAAAAAAAAATATTTTTAAAAAAGAAATTTCCAGGAGATCATTTGAGATCTTGCTTTCCAGCATATCTCATCAGTTTGGCTCAAATAAACTCATAAAAATTCTCTACAGGTTTGGATGTTCCAAAGTTATTTTTAAATCTCTTTAGATTGTTCTAGTATCTTGAATTTTGGAGGTACATTTTTCCCGTTTGTTGTTCCTGCCTCTCCCTGTTTTAATCTCCCTCTTAGTGATTTATTTCCTTATGTGATTTGTAATTTTTGACTTTGAGCTTATCTGCAGTAGTGTTGTTTCCTATGGGGTTGTGTGCTGTGGATTTTGAAGGTGTTTTCAAATAGGTCAGTTTGACAGTTTGCTGCTGCCAAGACCATGCAGGTGTCACTAATTATGGGAAAGTTTTTATGTTGTATTTTTAGTTCAAGATTTCTGTATTTGATGCCAAATTGTGTGTGTGTGTGTGTGTGTGTGTGTGTGTGTGTGTGTGTGTGGTATATGAATAAATTAGGCCTTTCATCTAGTGTTATATAGGCACAGAATCAGTAGGATGGACTTCAAGGTTTTAAAATGTCTCATTTTTCTTAAAGCTGTTTTCAGTTCCATATTTCAATTTTGTTTCGAAGCAGTAAAAATTGAGCTCTTACTTTCATTCATTTACCTTGTTGTAAAAAGTAGAGTGTGTTGTTTTAAATTAAGTCAACAGGTCAATACTAAGGGAATTTTTTCATGCCTTCTCTATCAGCTGTTGCTGTTTTCTCCTCCAGGATGAAAGGCACTGAGACTTGAAGAATAGACTTCTTGTCTGTAATTTACAGACTTGATTAGAAAACACTGTGAATTATCCTTTCCCTGAATAAACTTTAATGATTCACTGCTTGTTGGGGAATTAGAAACTATTGATTCATGTTCTGCCCCAGGAGATGTTGCCTCTCTCTGCTGAGGGCTGGGTTTGGGTTTCCACTCTGCCAACAGGCAGACCATTGCCCACTTTTTAATCTAGGGCAGGGGTGGGCAACCTTTTTGTGAGTGCGTGCCAAAACCAGCAAAATCTCTGACTCAAAATTCTTCTGTGTGCCAACCCTAATTTTTTGAGAACATGTTACGCCTACTTGATATCTCTTAAGATGTACGTATGTGAAGAACCTTGAAGAAATAATAAAATTAATTCGAGCGACAAAAACACAGTATATGATGATGAAAAATACATTTATTTTTTAATGTATACATGTACACTGATAGTCCGACAGAAAACTTTATGACTCCGTTTGATATTATCAGTGGGACTTTTGCTGCTGCATCACTGATAACAGAGATTTTACATCAGGTTTATATTTCGTGACCTTCAGAGATATGCACGAGCTACTACTTTCATCCGTCAGGCTACTCCTATTACGAGACTTAACAAAATTCATC